TTTGAGTTTAAACATGAACTGAAGAATGCAATATATATTTTGTTTGTAGATATTAAGAACTCTCAGTTCCCTCATTAAATGTTTAGAATCAGCATTTCTATTTGCATTTGTTAACATACGGCACGCTTCTTTGTGTTTTTTATATATTAAATCTAGTTTTGAATGGTAGGTACTAGCCTAGGCAATATTGCAGTAGTTAGTATAGCTATGTATATTTGCAAAATAAAAACTTTTTAGGCATACATTATTTAAAATATATCTGGTTTTATGCATTATTCTAATGTTTTTAGATATTTTGTTTTTTAATATATTAATGTGGACTTACCAACTAATATGTTCATCTAATAACACCCCGAGAAACTAAACTGAGAATGCTCAATTTAGTCTAACTTTGTCTAATAGAATATCTGGAAGTTTTAATGGTAGTGTGTCAGAACTGTATGGTTTTGTGAAAAAAGATATAATTACTTTTATCAATGTTGACAGAAAGTTTGTTTGCTTCAAACTAATCGCTCAACTCTTCAAGTTCCTGATTTACTGTTTTCAAAAGTGTAATAATGTTAGAGTGGGTAATAAAAGCTTGAGTATCATCTGCAAAAAAAATGAAGTTCAATATACTGGAAGATAAAATATGTCATATAAATATAGATTAGGAAAAGCAGAGGTAAGATATCCTAAAGATATTAGTATTGCAAATTTTTTTATACCAAAATAAAACTTTTTCAAGTTCTCAGTTTCTTCAAGTTCTCAGTATTAAAAAGTATTTTTATATTTTCATGTGACTGAAACAAGTTTAAGTTTGGAAAAATTATAATCTTTAAATTGCAAGCTTTTTTAAGATCATTTATATATATATATATTATATGTATGTATGTATGTATGTATGTATGTATATATATATATATATATATATATATATATATATATATATATATATATATATATATATATATATATAAATTAAATATTAAAATTAAAAAGTTATAAAAACAATTAACAATGTTTTTCAATAAATATAAATTATTAGAAATAAAATGAAACTGAATAATGAAATAAATAAGTAAGGCAATATTAATAATTAGAAAAAAATAAATAAGTAAGGCAATATTAATAGGTATTTTATGCAAAATGTTTATATTTTTATAAAGGAACAACAAATTTTGCATCGAATGTTATAATAAAATAAAACTATTTTTTTAAATCTTGAGTATTTTTCTATATGAGCTTAAGTTTAAAAGTTGACCTTAAGTTTAAAAGTTTAGACAGATTATAGTACATTAAAGAGTTTTCATTTTTTGCCATCTGTTATTTCTAATTTATATATATAAATTAAACTTCTGCTGTATAGAAATGTGTATAGAAGTACTTCTAAATGCTGATCCAAATGCCAGTAATAATAGACGCAACTCTGAGGAGATGTTTATTACTTAATCACTACACAAATTATGTTTACACATTATCATTAATTTTTTTTTTCATTATTAAATGCCTCTCATTGTTTTTATCAGAATTTTTATTTTGTGATCCGTTTTTTGTTTAACAAGTTTTTGTCTGGTGATATATATCTTCGTTCGTATTGGTATTTATAAACTTTTTTTACAACTTTTTTTTTTTTTTTATGATATTTTTTTTATTTTTATATATATATATATATATATTTTTTATTATTTGTTTTTATTTTTATTATTCAAAATTTTTTTTATTGTTATTATGGTTGAGTACTGTTTTGTTTGTATAGCCTGTCTTATTTATTTTTAAAAATTCCTATATTAATCTTTATTTTTGTCTTGACAACTGTCAAAATATGATTTGTCTAATAAATAATTCTCCTTTATTCTAATGTACTTCATTTCTTCCCTCAGGCGTTCACTGCTTGTGTGTGACCATTTGGCAAATTTTATATGCCAAAGTTTTTAAATAACATATAATAATTTTTTTAACCTCCTGCTCTCCCAACACCTCCTAATCTCCCAAAACCTCCCGCTCTCCCAAAAACCATGCACTCCCAAAAATTATTTATGCTGTATAAATAAAACTACTTATAAAATTCATAAATAAAAGATTTCGGTAAAGTATCTTTAAAATTAAATTCATTTATATATGGTGATGATACTGATTTGTTAATATCCAACAGTGATAATATTCGGCTATATGGTAATATGAATATTAGGTATATAATTTATTTTAAATCAGTTAGCCTGGGGTTCTAAATGATGAACTTTTGCCTATAAATCACAGAAATGACATTGATTTCACCATACCTTGAAAAAACTTCCCACACCTAAGACAGTTTCATATTTAACCATACAACACATAGCAGCCCAAAGGCTATTAATTATAATATGTCAACTTTATATACAACACACATGAGAAGTACATGAGAAATACACTGTTCTACAGCATTTTTAGTGATGTTAATAATCTTTCAGATTTGTGTATTGGTATTAATAAATTTACAGTTAAGATATTTGTTTATTCTGCAAGAAGAACAAATGTCCCCCATCAATTTTACAGCTCTCTCGGCTACTGTGTTGGTTCGAGGCACATCAAGCACTGGTAGTTTCTTCTTCCAGTGGGTAGAGAAGCATTTCACAGCTTTGGAACACTTAAGTTGGGATATTGCTGACAGCAGGTCTTCATAAGCCGCCTCTGCATAGTGCTGGTTTGAAAACCAGGCCAGCAACTATGTAGTTGCAATGAAATCGCAAGTTATCTTCAGCTGTTCTCGCCAGTTTGGAAGAATGAAAAATGCAATAAGCGCAAAAATGCCTTTTGAGTTCTACCTGACACTGTGCAGTGATGGCAGCTTGTGCCATTTGATACGAGGCCATTTTTCCTCATTTTTGTAAAACTTGTATGTTTCACAAAGCTGAAAAAAAAGTTTAAAGTCATCTCTCCAGCCAAGGTTCTCATACTCTGCTACCACTGCACAGGGCACACCCTTGTAGGCATTTTTTAAATCATCGTAATGCTCCATAATCTCATCAATAAATTTGTAGTTAATGTTAGGCGACTGTAACTGTATAGGAAAAAAGAAATAGAACAAGATCAAGAATGTGATGTTGGCAGCCGATGTATTGAGGTTCATCGAATCCCTTGTCTTGAAATTTTTTCTGAAGCTTGGCTACAACTCCATTTTTGCGACCAGTATTTACAGCTGTTGTGTCAGAGATGATCATCTGAATACTGTTCCATGCATTGTAATCATCAAGTAGGTCCTGTAGTGGTTTATATATGCTTGCAGATGATCCACTGTAACAAACCAAAATGCCAAGTTGTAATGTTCTTTTGTCATTTTTCAAGCACACAACTTGGTACTCATTCTTGTCAATTTTCTTACCATCAAAATGCAAAGAGAATTTCTCTTCAGAGATCAATTCCATGAGGCGGTTCTTAACTTGTTCTGCATCTCTGATTGTTCGACGCCAGACTCCAGACTGTGATGGTGTTAAGACACAAACTACATCCTCAGCCAGACTTTGAAGCACCTGTCACATTTTTCTGGTTGAAAAAGAGTGACTAGACACTAGTTTGGCAGCAGACTTAGTTGACTAGCATGTTGCACGCTTTCTGCGAGATTCTCCTGGAACTACCTCCGAGTCACCATTGCTGCTTCCTTCCTCAGAATCCTCACTATCGCAGGAAAGTGGTACAGAGATAACTGTTTGGTTTGTCGAGGGTTCTGATGTACTTTTGGCCCTTTTTGATGGATGGATTGTTGACATAGGAGTTGTTCATAGTTGCATATCCCACCCTGCCATCTGATTCAATTTGTACTTTGTACAGTTGTTTGTCCTCACTAACATCTGGTTTTGTTATATCGAACAGATGAGCAAGATTTTCTTCAAACACTGCATTAGGTCGCTTTCTGTGTTTCTCAATGATGTGATAAGTTTGTAAACATGAGCAGACAATTGTTGTTTGGAAAGAACAGGAAAATTAAACTTCTGCCAAAGATTCATCAATTCCTCTGATATTTTTGTTAGTCGATCATGTCATCCTTTCAATTCATTAAAGAGTCCCAAGAATCTTCTAACGATATCTCTGTTGAAAGGCATTTTACAAAATTTGTCACTCATATTCTGTTTTACCTGTGGTATATTAGGACGGCGCTTCGTGCTTGATTTCAAATTTTGTGTCCATATTTCACCAGCTGCTTCCACTGCTGATTTTGACTTTTTACTTTAAAAGGACATATTTTCAAAAAAAAAGCACTAAACAGCAGATCTTGAAAATTTATACTGCAAATAATGAAAAAACTTTTTAAATACTTCTACGCAATATTTTAATCGCGCGAACATTAAAAAATACTCAACAACAAACAACAACAAACGCGCATTAATTTGAAAAACAGTCGTTAAAACTTGTTATTCAAAATTGAGTTACATAACATAAAAACAATTTAAAACTATCGAACTTTTTCATTCTATGTTAATTAACTTTTTAAACTGTTTGACGCTCTCCAACTTGTAGTTATATTCAAGCATAGTCAAGCATAGTCAAGCATAAGGAAGTAAGAAATGGAAACAAAATCAAGTGAAAAAAAAAGTTAAAAGTGGTGAGGAGCAAGGTGCGGGAGGTTTTTTTGTGATCCAATGAAATAAACTTCAAAACAGTGATCTATTGGTAACAGTTTATCAAATGCAACATCAGGAAAATTAAAATTTTGAAAAAAGTGTTTTTGTCATATACCTAATGAATATAGAGCGTATAAAAATAAACAGTTGGTTTAAAGCTAATAAAATCTTATTAAATGTAGGTAAACTCTTGATATATTAACTGGTGCTTTGCAAAAATATATGACAGCTATAGGCTAATATAAGAATATAGTCTAATTTTATTATATCAATTATTTAATCCAAGCTTTCAGTTTCGTTAAAATCCAATTTATTCAATACATGTATTCTTTCCATTTATTTTTTACCTATAAAGAAGGAATTGCAGCTCTTTCAATGATATATAACAATTTATTATTATATCAGTATAAACATGTTACTTACCTAATGGAAACTCTTTCTCAATAATTTGAACTATTGCTAGACAACGAAAGGTTATCAACTTTTCTTTTAACTCTACCCATGATTGTCTCCCTCTAGACTCAATCCACATTTCAATAACAGCTACCGCTTTTGCTTGAGCTGTTGCATGGTTTTGATTAATGTTCCTAAGATCATAGACATCTAAACCAAGATGACACCCAAATTGATCATATTTATCGTTAATCAAATAGCCAACTCGAGAAATAAGATTTGAAGCCAATGGGCGTTGAACCACATTTGCTAATGTAAAATAAAATCTTTATTTAGTGCATAGTCAATATATTAATGCTTATGTTAGTTAAGAAATAACATCAAAGTTGTTATAGAGGGCTGTTGTAAAAATATGTGACTGTCTGGCGGAGGAGGGGGGGGAGAGAGAAAGCGCCATAATTACAATAAATTGACAAAAGAAATAATGTTCCTGTTCTACTATGAGATATTCTATAATATATTTCATTACAATCAGCCTGTTACAACAATATAAAACAAAGCGCTATATCATATATCATAATCATATGCCAAATATGAAATGAGAAATCTTCTTTTTATCATTAATTACAAGACATTTTTAACACATATTTTTGTAAATAAAAAAAATATATATATAATAATCAATGCATAAATTTTAATAACCAAAATGTTGTTTAATTAAGTCTAATTTTTATGAAAAAAATAATTTAAATCATACTTTTTGGGTAAATGAGCCCACTGAATTCTACATAGCATTTACATATGAAACCTTAACTGATTAGCAAAGAATTGATCTCAGTATAAATGAATTTGTTGGTAGGATCAATCAAAATAAAGAATATAAATAAATTTTATAAAAAAAAAATAAAAAAAATAAAAATAAATAATATAAATAAAAAAATAAAAAAAAAATAAAATAAAAAAAGTAAAAAAAATAAAAAATTTTCCACTTTGAGGCTCTGTGTTTTCCACTGGACATCTGTTCCTTTGTACTTTTATCTCACTCTGCTAAACTCTTTTTAACTTATTATTCATCCCTAAGGCGTTCACTGTTCGGTGCAGCTTCACTAAAATGCATTGCATTTACAAAAAGTATTTATGCCCGTGTGGACAGCGGAGCAACGACTATCTTCTTGACAACCACATATAACAGAGGTAAATTTATTTATCTAACAAAACTTACAAAGAAGAGTACTTACAACAGTAACAAACATATGCTTATGCACATACACCTCACATCCTGAATTAAAACTTTACTCTCCTTTTTTTAAAGTTTATTTTGGTTTTCTTCTATAATTATTCCTTATATCATAGTATTCTTATTATTAATTTGCTACTGTAAATGACACAAAATCAGCCATGCTATACGTACATTGTGTTTAATTTACTAAAGTTCACCTGCTTACTGTTTTGAAAACGAATAATTCCACTCAACTTCAGATGCTCCAGAATACATTACAGCCACGTGACATGCACAGTTAAACTTGTCACTTATACAAAATACAAATCCCATTTATGTAACACTCACATTAAACTGTTAGACTACATGATTTCTATATAATTTTAGATTATGAATTGTAAAATATATATATACAGATTATTAGTTGCAATACACATATACTAGTCATTGTTGCTCTATTGATATAGCTCTGCCTAACATTTCTAGTTTATCAAGATGTAATAGTTTGTTATTTATGCTATTTTTAATGATACACGTTTATTAGACTCATAGTACTCACGTCCACCTATTGTCAACACCAATTAAAAAGATTTTCAACTATTTTTATACTGATAAGTCTCACTATCAAGACTTGCTACAAAAGTAATCACACACATGTACACTACATTGACTACTTACATCACACACATAGTTATAAGAACTCAAAACAGTTCACAACTCTCATTGACTCTGACAAACCACTGCACTTAAAAGACTCTCATGTCAAAAAACTACTTACTATTGTTTGCAAGTTGTACTGAACCTCGCTAAGTGTCCTCTGGTCTCAGTGTCAATTCAGGAGTCTGTGGCAATCGTCCTGACTGGATACTCTGAGAATAGTCCTTTTGGGATAACACAATGGAATACCTTAAAAAGATACCCTGGTGTAGACCCAGAGTGGAACTTCTTTTGGGATACCAGCCTCGGATAAAAGCTGGAGGTCTTTATGTGTTCACACTGCACCATAAGGCACGAATCCATACTGTACTGGAGACGTTCATGACACTTATATCTATAATGTATGTTTATCATCCTAATAATACATACCACATAGTGACTACTTATAAAACGAATAATTCTACTCCATCACCAATTCTATCTATAAATCACATTTACGCTGGACTCTAACAACAATTTAGTAGCACAACAACTAATGACTTTCCTTGACTGTTGTTTATTATTCTTATTTACTTTTTACTACACCTTACTGATATCAGTTTTTAATATTTTTCCACTTTGAGGCTCTGTGTTTTCCACTTGACATTTGTCCCTTTTTACTTTTATCTCTCTCTGCTAAACTGTTTTTAAGTTATTATTCATCCCTAAGTTTTCACTGCTCGGTGCAGCTTCACTAAAATGCATTGCATTTACAAAAAAAAAACTTCTCATTTTTTATTATTTGCTAAATAATAAAAAGTGAAACTAAGAAAACAAGAAAAAGGCAAACAGTATATATATTTTTAAGCAACCGAAGCGTTAAAAAAAATACTAAAACTGTAGTTGCTAGCTTCTTTTTTTCATCAACAATACCCAAAAATCAAATGCAGCAAAAACATTGGTTCAAAACATTTAATTGTAAGAATACTAATAATGAAATGAATCTCCTAACTAATTATATTTATTAATGAGGATTTAAACTGAGGATTACTTTTGTTCTACCATCGTAGTCTTAGCCGATTCTGTCTTACAAGTCTGCCACAAAATTACAAATAATGACAAATATAAAGCAGAAGCCTTGATTGACAGTGGAAATTCAAATGAAAGATTCATTAATAAGAACAAGTAACTTTATTCAATTTAGAAGTTTTTTGTAAGGAGAATGCTACTGGAAGGAAATCAGTATCTATTTCAGCAAAAGAATGTCTAGAATGGATAGACATCATTCTAGGTACGGAGTTGCACTCAAGGGTTGATGAAACTAAGTTTGCTTGGACAGACAGAGAACTGCCCAATTTGGCAGTTAAGGAAATTGCAATTTCTATCTTGGTGGTGAATACAGAGAACTTTGCTGTGCTAGGTATTACATCGCAGACTCCAGGGGCTGTGAGGAAAATTCACTTTTTGGATAGTTAGTACAAACCTATCCTTGCTAAAGTAAGCGCACAAATTAATGAAGTGGTGTAAAAAGTGCTGCAAACTAGTGCTGAAAGTCAAATAACGCTCTTATTTAATACAGGCAGAAAAACAGAATTACAGCCTGCTGTAAATAATATAGCTAATTCAATTGAAATAGTAACTGATGTTAACAAGAATAAAATGTTAACATCGAATTAAACTAATGAAGAACAGCCTACCATTGTGCCAGTTAAACAAGATGTAATTGAAGGGGATCTGGAGAAACTTTATCTTGTATCATTTTATGCAATTGTTAAAGCGATTGCTTAAACGCATTGATAGACCTTTGCATACTGCAGTGGAAAAATTGATCGATGTAAAACAAAAAGCAGGATTTTTAGAATTTTAGGACATGCCTGGGGTTTAAGATAACCTTAAAGAGTGGAGAATCAAGAGTTTTTAAATGGTTTTAGACCTAACAGGAATCTTCGTAAAGGGAGGAAATAATCATTTTTGCAAAATTACTATAGATTGAAGAAAACTGTTTGTAAGATTCTTGATGGTGCTATTAGGGACACACCTCTGGAAGAGATTAGGCAAAGTTAAAGGATGTACAACGTGCGTACGTTGACCTGCTAGAGGTAAGAACTCAGCTCGATGCCAATAGGATATTTCACAATGACAAAAGACTTGTCTTAGTAAGCTATGGCTGCATTACGATCAGAGAGGTAAAAAAAACATTTGGCGCAAGCAAAAAGGATTCCACTGTGGATTGCACCTACAGGATGTGAAAAAGGCGAACCCACGCACATTTTGTATCATGTTTAATATGTGGTACTTGCATGGAATCCCATAAGAGGAAAATAGGTGTTAAACAATATTCTGGCATAACAGTGGCGAGAAGGACTTAACGTCTAAATACCAACATGTAATGATCAACAGTATGCTGAATAGGGTTTATAATAAGACATGAGGCAGACAGATAAAAAAAAACCTGTGCTTCCGTTTGAGACAGAAAGCATTACCAGCAAACTCTCCATGCTTGGTCCATGGTTTATTGGCTGATGACCGGTACCACTGCACCAGTGATGCCGTTCATATACCAATGGTTGGCCATCTTAATAAGGATATATTTATATCTATCTTATCTTAATAAGCAGGCTATTCGATTTATGTACTGACTATTTATGCCAATAAATATTCTTTATGTTTATATTAAAAAGTCACCATTTTAAGCAAGTCTTGCAACAAGCTAAAAAACATCACACCGCTTAACTGCAGATTAACTTACATATTTAAAATAAATAATATGAAGTATAACATAAATAATTGGTATTTTTTTTTTAATAGTTTAGATATGCTTTATAATATTAATATGTTTTAAAATAAAATTATTTTGCATCGTTATTACATCATTAAGATTGTGATTATAGTTTGTTCATGAGTATTAAAAGAAATACTGAATGTTCCTCCTGAACAAAAAGAAAAAAAAGTTATAGTTAAAATAAATAAAATGAAAAGTGAAATATGTAAACAGTTGGCTCCTAAGAATACTAGAAACGAACAGCTGAACAAAAATAAATTAGGTTTAACTAACTTTACGAATGTTTCGTTGTGTTTGCAAAATGTTAGTTCATCATGCATGCAGTCATTGCATCATGCATCAGTTTTGTTCATGATTTAAAGGTAAAAAATTTGGTTGTCTTAACTTTTCTTTGACATTTTATATATTTTTTATAAAATATAATGTTTTTATTGTATTAGTCAAGCATTGCAGAGTATTGGATTTTATAGTTTATACTCAATTTTGCAGGTATGCGTAAATCTGAATTTTACGGAACACTGTTTTCAGCCAATTTTTGACACACTTTATCAAGTTTGTTAAAAAAATTCCATGGTATAAACTTATTTTGCTCTATTATTTTATAGAAATGTGTATAAAAATAGACTTTTTCTAAATACTAGAATTATGGAACTTTAATTTTGCATGGATTTT